AAAAAAAGATAGAATATACAAAATAAGTGAGGCACAATGCAATCGCTCACCACCCGCCAACCAATGCCCAGCCCGTTCCTGAGCAGTGGTTGCAGCTCCGCAGCCTACTCCCCCCAGTTTGTATACTGAGCATGACATCATATAGTATGGAATACCCCGTTGGCCAGTTTGGGTTAGCTGTCCTGGCTGTGCTCCCTCTCAGCTTCTTGTGCACCTGGCAGAGCATGCGAAGCTGAAAAGTCCTTGACTGTTAAGCACTACTTAGCAACAACTAAAACATCAGTGTGTTATCAACATTCTTCTCATCCTAAATCGAAAAGACAGCACTATACCAGCTACTAGGAAGAAAATTAACTCTATCCCAGCTGAAACCAGGACATACAAGCAAAAGTATTTTGCTTCAATTGCAAGTATGTATTTTTAGGGTCCCAATATTGCATATGAAAACTGAGAGACTAAAAATGTATGAAGTCCCTTCAATAAATTGATTCCAAAGTGGTATTTTGAGAATGGCATCTCAAAATGAAAACGGTATCTTCAGAAACGTAAAATAATCAGTTTTACCAGACTTAGCCCATTGATTTAGGAAAGAAATACAACCAACAGATTACAAGAAAATTCTTGCACTATAAAATGTATGCGAAAATACATGTATTAACGCAAGCAGCATTTATAGTGAAATTGTGTTTTCATAACCACCATGTGAGTTTCTGGAAATACCTGCTCTGTCTCGCGCATTCTTGGTATTGTAAATTGAGTAGATATTATGTTTGTTCAAATGAGTTTCCAAAAAAGCCACTGGAAAGGCACCTGAGAAAGCGGCCAAGCATTCTCCTAGTGCTGATCGTTGCCTGTGAATTAACAAACATCGTTAAGTATACACATCTTCGATGACTGACTACACCTTGAGGTAGTTATATACCAGCCTTATTTTTATTCTAAGATCAGCTCATCTCAAAGAGATAAGCCACTACATTATTAGGATCATCAACAGAAGAACAGGTAATAGAAACTGAAGTCCCTCTGCTGCAACCCTCTGCTAACATATGAATGAAATGTTAAGACATAAAATGTCAGAGGTGGTGTACTTAGCTGAGAGCAAATGAGGAACATGCAGGGAAAACCCAAAATCATCATAACAATGCCTTCTGTTCTACTACTTTCCTCTCAGCTTTACTGACTTTACAATCTCTGCTATTAAGAAAAAGCTACTGAATAGACCAAGAGACCAAATACAACTATCATTTTATTTGAGTGATATAATTTCCTTTTTCTGAGAAATAGCAATAATCAGACCTTGGTCTAGCATGAAAGTCAAGTTCTTCAGAGTGTGGAAAATTGCTTCTACTGATCAGTAACTCTGAAAGTTTTGCACAAAAACATTGCTCTTATCTCTTCAGATATATGACAACATTTATTTGACAATCAAAATTCCTTAAGTGTGTCAAAATTGTAAAAAGCCTATCTCTAGGAAGAAGTAAGTGATCCCCTGTAACTTGGCTCCTTCGGGGACATTTAAAACTATTCTTTCTGATTCCCAATTCAGTTGATCAGAGCAGATTTTAGATATGTGAGAAATCCTTAGCTGTTGAAGCTGAGCCGCACAGATGACAGAAATCCAGGAGTTCCATGAACTTCCAAGTTAAAAAAAAAAAAGGCCTCCAAACTGATCTTGTGATTTAACAAGATTCATCTTCAGTCTATAGTTTATCTCATTTTAGGAACTTATATTCTTTCTAGATCTAACTCATTAAACTTGATTTTGTTAAATCTAACTTCATTCCCATTATTATTTATCCAGTTTGCTCCTTCTTCCTTTTTTTCCTTTTCATTAGGTCTTCATAAGCAAAACATACATCCATCATCATCCATCTATAAAGAGCACGCTACATGCTTTTCACTTGTGATAATGATTGTAGACAGCCATTCACAAAAATTATCACTTAAACTGACATATTTCATCTTAACTACAAACCCCACATCATTTATTTGCCAAAACCAATTAATTTTATATCCCTTATGAAGTTAATTAAACCTGGTTTTCCACAGATGTGTATTTTGTTACTTACAAACATTGGTCCCCACCTTTCTTCATAATGTTTCCTATGATACTGCCGCCAAGAAAGCAAGGGTATGTCATGAGGCTGGTCTGGAGTTATGCACAGGCTGATTTGCAAGAGAGTGTACAGATATATGAACTTCCTAGACTACTGCTGCCAATATCTGAAATGTATGAGTTCTGTTTAGCCTTCCCTCAGAACAGTGCTAGTCACTACAGGGCAACTATTCAGTTTTAATAACTGAATTATCTAGGTACCTCTATTTTTTTGGCTGAATATGGTTTACACAGACCAAATGGAACTTGGAGGGAGGTTAGGAGACACACAGATGCACAAAAAAGCAATTATAAAGCCTCATTTGCCTGGGTAATTAAGCTAGAAAAGAAATAGTGTTGTATGACACATATGTTGTATGACAAAATAAATTTAGGGTAATGAGGAAGAAATATACATCACAATTAAACAATATGTAGGGAAGAATTACAACAATAGCTGAGCTGAATGACATATTTTTACAATTCCCCAGCTGAACCTCAAATCAAGTGATATTTATTGTAAAGTCAGATAATTTTATTTGTTTGGGTTTTTTTAATTAAGAAATATATTTTGTCAAACTTATAATGCAACATTTTAAGTGTATTATAATAAATGCAGCTGCATTCCACTTAACATCTAGGCACCTTTTTTCTCTCAAGATATTTTTCCAACAATAATCTCTTCCTATATTCATTTCTGGACTGCATATTCATGAAGCTAAATATAAACACAAATATTAAAAATAGAGGAACACTTTTCCTTCTTACCGCTCTACATAGATACTCTTGCTGGTTCCCAGAGCATATAAACTGGCCAATATTCTGTAACAGGAGACCTGAACATCTTCCACTAAAGAGAAGAAGAAAGTGATAGGTATAAAGAGATTTTTCTTTGCAATACATTTCTGTAGAATTAAAATACATTTCTTTTGACAATAACTGAATTAATAATATTAAGTTATCAAAGGCAATCCACAGAAATCACTCTCTAAATACAAAAAGTCTTCTGACCACTGAGTGCCATAGTTTTTACTCAAAACTTCCATTTACTTCAATACCAAGCTAAGACAGTAAACATATTTCAATAGTGCACTAATTTTCTGAAATTAATGGCATACCAACACTTTATGGATAACTTCTAATTGCATAATCTGAGAATTTATTAATTTAATTGCTATAAAAAATGTGTCAATTAATCTTTTCTAGTTTGTCTGTAGCTCTTAAGAAAGTTTCATGAAATTAAATAAAGTGCTGAAAGCAAAAAAAAATTATTAGGGAACAAATCGATTTACAAATGTAACATCACTGTAAAAAATACATTACAAAAGAAAGGCAATCCTGTTAAACAGATACTTAATTCTTTTAATCACAGTTTATATTTTTTAAAATTTAGACACAGATACCAGTTAATAGCATGTACTTAATTTACACTTCAGACTGACAAAGGATTAAAAAAATAAATAATCTTTTAGTCCTTATGAATATTTCATCAAAGCATGTTTTGAAATTATCAAATGTTGCAGTCACAAAAATGAGAATAACCTTAACATCCATTTGAAAAAATGCTTTTCCAATGTAATCTGCAGTAATAGTGTAACAACAGTGTAAGTACCATCAAGAAGGACAACACTCCCATTCTTTCCATATATATTTTTTCTAGTCTCTTCCACAGTGCTAATATCTTCCCCCAATATGCAATGAGATGTTGGGAATAAAATAGAACTAAGACTTAATGGGCTGGGAGAGCCTACAAAACAGTGCATCAAAGCTACATAGCCTGGCTCTTTACTATACCGAGATTTTAGTTCGGATCATCTTGGAGTTGAGTATTTTTACATAATAAGAGTAACCTCAAGTACACTGACCCACCTTTGTACATGATCACACCATGGAGTACTCTGTACATGTAGTGATACTCTTAGGTACAAGCACCAGGTAAAGATGCTTGTCATCAGAGTAGTACAAATAAGATAATCTTTTTTAACAAGACGTAAAGAGAAGCTGTGTGTAAGAAAAATTAGTCCTTCCAACTATGCTCTAGGCAAAATAAATATTAATTATTCTTTCTCAGTTTATGAATTCTAAATTGAGTGTTTGACACCAGTGTGATGTATGTAGAATAGCTGATTAAGAATACCAACCTAAGTAATAAAGTATCAAAGGCTAATTATTAAGTTCCAAAACATGGAATACCAGAGATCAAAAATTATACAAGGCATGAACATGGTGACGCCTGAAAAAGTGGTTTATGATGAACAAGTGATGTATGAACCCCTCAGATGACTTTTTCTGGATACTGTCACAGACTCCTGAACTTTACAGAAATAATTTAATGAGAAAAGTGGATGTTTACATTTCATCACATTCAAATCCATCAATACAACTCCAAATTTTCAAAACCAGTTATCTTAATGTTATTTTAAATAATACTTTTACAGATTCTAAAAAAAGGAAAAAATATAATTTGATATTCTTTTTTTCCAGGTCCTTCTCTCAGTTATTTCCGTAACTGAGTTAGCTATACAGAGCAGAATTGCCTCCTTTAGTGCAGTCTGGACAGCAGAATTCCTGTGGAGTTCCTAAAATACATAAAATTAAAGTTTTGTGTTGCAGACTGCAAAATTTTGTCTTGCAGAGACTGGCTTTGGGAAAATAAGGGACACTGAATCTGCCATAATCAGAATCTCTACAGCAATTTCATATACAGAGTCTTAGACTCATTCCCTTCTCCAGTTCCTGAATTCTTCAGGAGCTCCTTCCACTTTGCCTTAGGATTTAAGATGCACCCACCCAAATTCCCTGCTAACTGAAACTGAGTGAAGGTGCCTGTAGGACAGAATAACATCATTCTTGTAGTGTAACCTCATTTATAGACAGAGCAAAGGCTACTTATACAAAATAACTTTTCACACAAGAAGAAAGTCACAGTAAATCTATGGTAAAGTCACAAGCAGAATCAAGCTTTCTCACTACCTAATCACAGCCACACCTGCTTTATAAAAAGAGCACTAAAACCTGCAGACTGTTCTAGGTCGATTACAGCAAATGTTTGATTAAATCAATGACAATTTTGTCAAAATGATATAGGATTTGTCTTTCTCTAATAGAACTGAGAGTCTAGTAATGTTTACTACATGACACACAGAAATTTTAGTGCCATGGCACTTCTAAATAATACATACATATCAAATCTTCCCCAAACTGGTGCTGTCCAATATGCTCAAATAATGAAGATAGCACTGGCAGAAGAGCAACTGTGGTATAATTAATGATTTGTGTAACTCCCTTTGGCTGGTTTCTGCTGTGTGTAAACTGGCCTTGCTTAAGATTTTCCATTGTTTTCTCCAGATCTTCGGCAGCATTGTCCAAAAATGCTCTCAATGCCATCTTAACAGATTCCAGACCAGTCTTCATCACAGTCCTGTATATAGCATGCAAAAAGAATGAAAAAGAATATTCTATTAGACAAGCATGGAATAAAGCCTAGTCTTGGCTTATATGAAATAGATAATAAAGATCTGAAGAAAAATCTTTCAGGTTTTAATATTGCAAAATCTTCTCATAGCAGAACAACCTACTGAAAAAAATGTTTCACAGGTATCCTGCAGAACACAAGGATATTTTATGTGGTTTCCCATTCAGAAAATAAAGTCCTTTTAAATTTATAAATTAAGAGATTCATTTGCCTTCAGAGGGAAAAAAAACACCTAACAAAAAAGAAGAAGAATGAGTAAGTCTGCAGTTTATGACTTTAGGAAGAGAAGAACTATCTCAAGCTAGAACTCAGAAAGTCTTTCCAACCATGACAGTCATATTTCTGCCTCCAGAATAAGGGCATCAGAAAGGAATGAGTAAAAGCAAGCAAATCTCTTTAAATAAATAAATACATTGATTACATAACTATAACACCACAATCAGTTATGCAATGATATAATCCAGGAGAATTATTACCTTATTTGTTTTAACTAGCTCAATTACAGAGATCCTTTGTTTAAGGAAAGTATCCATTTAGGTATGCATGAAATAAATCCAGGTGAAATTCTTTTGTAAATTGAATAACAGTCCAGTTTTTTTGTTTGTTTGTTTGTTTGTTTTACAGAACGAGTATATACAGTTTCAATGGCAATATTTTCAAATTTTCCTGTAACCTCCATGAATCCCTTAATCCCCATCTGGAGCTATTTTTACATCTCTACCAAGAGCTGAATTGGTGACCTCCACCTGTATCTGTATTCCACCTGTATGATTGCATAGAGCATGGACAATTTATGACAAAAAACCCAAGATATTGCAACCTAAAGGATTACCATGCAACAGCTGAGCCATATTAATTGATCATGATCATGACTCTACCCCATAGCAAATGGAAAGTAAAATTTGTTCATTTAAGCCACTGCGAAGATACTGAGAAAAAGAGCTACCTGCTTATAATCCAGTCAATTCTTTGAGAGTAAACGCAAAGTGAAAAAAGTTACCTTAAATTACCATGGAGGTAGATTAAACTATCATGTTTTGTTTCACAACTGCAAAGATCTAAAAGTCAGCTATCAGCACAGATAGTTGACTGTACAGTTAATGAAAAGCAACACATTGCCTTCCAATATTTCAAGACTGTCTCATCCATAAACCTCATAACGGCTCAAGCAGCTCAACTTAAAAGCGAACCACTGAATTTGATGTAAAGGGGGTTTCTTGTTCAAATTAGAACCTGAATTAACTTTGCAATGAAGACACTCTATGAGACAGATTTACTGCACTCTATGTGCATTTAACTCCTGAATTCTTTGATTAAACAGGGTAAGCAAAAGAATAAAATATTTCTAATGCTATTGTGTTTTTGGGACGGTCGCATGATTAAAACCAGATGAACTAACAGCCAGCAGTTCCTGGACACCATAGTTCCAAACTGAAGTTGAAAGTGTAACCTACACATATTGTCCTGCCAACCCCTAGTAATTAACTAGCAATTAACCTACTTTGCAATGGGAATTCTTTTCAGTACTATAACTTCTTGAGTTTTGAAATTCTGTAGCCTTACACAGGCAGCCCAAATCTGACAGCACATTATTTTCTTAAGTGATTTTCTTCATATTTTAGAAAATATATTCAGTATTACCTCGCATCCAAGGTTTGGCCCAGTATGTGAAGACAGTTGACTATTGATGTTGCATCATTTCCTAAACAGGGAGGAAAATTATCCACCAATTAAGCTGAGCATACTGTATAGCATACCTACACTCTGCTAACTGTATCTCTGGTTTTAATGAAAGAGTAAGAGACATAGCAGAAGAGCAATTGAACTTCTGCATAATTTTAACATTCAAGTTAAAAAACATGCAGTTTGTTGTCTTAGCCTTGTTTACACAAATGCAGTAACTAGAGGCAGTAAAGCATCTCATCAAATAGCTGAGGCAGTCAAGATGGAAGCACTTAAATGTGGGGTTAATTAGAGCTGCAGTGTATTGTCTCGTTTTCATTTAAGTTCTATAAATTTTGCTTTAATTGATTCAAGTTTATCTGAACATTTATCTTCCCCCTCTCAGTAACATAAAAGCTGTTAACTTGTGCAAGTTGCTATTGCAGGAAGAGAATATTTATATAAAATGTCATCAAAAAGGTTAGCTCCCTGGTGTTACCAATAGGCTGTAGCCATTTATAGCAGGATCAGGTGTGGCCCACATGAGTAACAGTCTCTGACATAATATGCTTCTCCCATTATCAATTATTTTTTTCACACTTACGTATGTAAAAAGAGAACTTACACACAACATGCCTTGTATGCATATGTACATAGAATCATAGAATCATAGAATCATTAAGGTTGGAAAAGACCTCTAAGATCATCAAGTCCAACCATTAACCCAACACCACCATGCCCACTAAACCATGTCCCTAAGCACCTCATCTACACGTCTGTTAAATACATCCCAAGATGTTGCCTGTACAAGCCACCTCTAAGTTCACTTTTTAAACCCAGAACAGATTTAGGCTACACAAATTTGACCCACAGCTTATTTAAATTTTTTTTTTTTTTTAAATCTAAATCTCTGCGAAAATGAAAATACCTTTTCTTGCTTCTCCATATATTTAAAGTTTCTCAATTAAAAAAAAAAAAACAAAAAAAACCAGAAGAAACAAAATGAATGTTTAAGATAAGATAGATTTCTGAAAATACTGTCATCTGCATACAGTGTACTATACTTTCTCACCGGTGGTTATTTCACTTGAAAATATAGGTAAACATACAACTAAAACTAGTAACTGTTTCAGTGAAATACAGATTTTAAAAGATAAATTGCAAGGAAGGAGTGGGAGGTTTACTGTGGCACTGAGAACATTGTTCTATACTACCAAATTAGGAGGTATTGTTGTGATGTTCACCCACAGCAGATTACACAAACCTGAACCATGGCTTCCACGGCTGCCGCTAGCCAGGCAGCCCCACCCTCTTTCCACTGGCACTGGTGGTCATGCAATGATATAGCGAGCAGATGAGAAAGCTGAGGTGGCTTATAAAAATCCTAACAAAAAAAAAAAACATCCCGAAAGATTTAAGGTTTATGTCAGCTCCTTTTTTTTTTACTTACTATGTTACTGCTCTGGTGATATGAATGCCAATGCTGATGAAGAAGAGGATGCAGGACTGTGCTAATGACAGCAGGGATGGAGGGAAGTACTCAAAGCAACCCGGACTTAGACTGTGGATTAGACTGAAATAGTATCTTAACATTCGTCATGCAGGTGTGTATACGCTGCATGCTACAGTGCAGTATAGAGATGCTCACTCCAGTTCCCTGAAAATTTACATTGGCAATCTATTTACACCATGTAGGCACATTTCAAGAGACATATATTTAACAGGAATCAGGTACTTTGTATGCTGCAACCAGATGGAAGGCTCAGAAATTCATCTAGGTATTCTGAAAACCAGACAAGCTTTAGGCATAGCCCTGTTGCAGATACTGCAGTGTGGCTGGTTCCACAGACTGGGGTATCAGAGCAGAATTCAGTGACCATGATAAATGCAATCTAAACTGATTGACATACTAGAGTTTGGCCAGTTTTATTGATGTAACACTAAAAACAGACTTTCAAAATTATCATGAAACTTCTTTTCTGGAATGTGTCCTTTGGGCAGGATTTATTACAGAATCTTAGAAAATGCAATTTGCTATGAAAGACAGGTTTAGGTTCAGTGGAAATTGTCTTGCTTTTGTTCAATGTCATGAATTTATTTGTTTTCACTGTGTTTCTAGAACAAAAACCCACCAAAAAAAAAAAAGAGTATTTTTTAGTATTTTACCTTAAAATGCCACAGTTAAAACTCAAAAACAAATCCTTTTAAATTGAACATTTCAAGAATCAGTTTGCTTCCAACCTGAGGTCAGAAGTTAATTTCAGAAGGCCATCTTTTTTTTAAACTGAGTTATGAAACCTAAAATGAGGGGTTTTCTAATGAAGCTAGTTTTATTACTATTGCTAATATTTCACAATGTATATATGTACCTTCATTAAATTAAAAATATTCTTTTTTTATTAATTAGAAATGTTCTTGGTTTTCGGAAGCCTGAAAACTAGATACAAAACACACTGATGTAGAAATGAACGTGCAGTATATAAAATTCCATTACATCATGAAAGGAGAGCAGGTGATAAGTACAATTCAATAGGATAAAAATTGAAACAAGAGCTGTTCCTTAAAGAAACTCTTCACACAACTCAAAACAATAGAGGCTGAACATATGTAAATACTAAACCACATGAGTTCAAGAGATTTTAAGGCTAAAAGTATCCCAGGAACTAGTATGAATATTAGGTTGGTGGTTGGATCACCATTCAGCATGTGTTACAAATGCAGTTGATCCCATGAACTGTACAACTGAGTTTCTTTAATAATCTGAGGTGCAGTCCTACATATTTTAGAAAGCTGTACTATTATATCAGGAGGGAAGAACTGTTGCTGTCTTGAGAAAGTGCTATGGATATTGATTCCAGGATGCCTCACTGGAAGGACACTTCTAAATTCAGGATGTCATTAGGCAGAGAAAGCCTTCTGTTTCTTTTTAGGAACTCCTCTGATTAATTTGTCTAAGTTCCCAAAAATGAGGAGCAAAACCAGGCCTTTCTTATCTGATGTCTTACCCAGCTAATTTTTGTTTCAGATTACACGGGTCTCTATTACCGATATGAAGATTTTTTTTTTTTTTTAAAATTACTTATATATTTATATAGAAAGAATGCCTTACTTTTAAACAACATAAAAAGTGAATCAAACTAGTCATATAAATTTGTGTTTTAAACCTAATTTTTAAATTGAGAAAATATAAATTCTAATGCTCAATTCACCAAAATTATTCACTAAAAACTTTCAAATTCAGCCCACTAATAACAATGAAAGTAAATCAACACAGTCTTACTGATGCACAGCTACAGCTACAGTAAATTATTGAGTCAAAATCTACTTTCATAGTATAAAGAAATAATAATTCCATGCTGAATTACAATTCCATAATCTCAGTGACACTCTTAGATATCAAATGCGATTAACTGTTTAAGTTCACTCTGGAAGACTTGCATGCTTAATTTCCTATTTTATCAAGACTTGTGTATACAGCTTAAGCTACATGACTTTTACTAATGACTTTCATACATGCAGCTGTATCTTCAGAAGTACCATTCAAATTCACAATAATATAAAACACCTATATAGCAAAACTATATAGCATTTTGCTATTTGTTATAGCAAACTCCCCACTATCCATAACGGTTATTATCGAGCAACTCTTGCTCATTCAAGATGCCTCCAAAATGCACAAATAACATTCTAGGCCCCAGCTGTGCTCAGAGGCTGACCTCATGAGCATTTTCCCATCTTCTACACAGGCCTTGTCTTTGCTGGAGTAAGTGCAATTCTTTCGATCAGATTTTCTAACATGATGTAATTCACTGTCAAGGTAAGGCAAACTGTAAGGTGACTTTGACTTGAGTTAGTAGGCCCACAGTAAACGACCGTGCTCCAGAGTCTTATGGTGACCTTGAGTGACTTATTGAAAAACTACAGTACACTTAATAAAGATTTTGTATTCTGTTAGTTACTGCACACTAGGAACAGAGTTAAAAAACAAACTGTAGTCATAGCGAATACTCATTTGATCCCACCTGACTTATCTCCTTCTACCACTTGAATCCAGTCAAACAACAGGAAATAAGCAAGCTGAGATGTGGAATGGAAAAGATCTTTTCTTTAGTACTGAAGAAAGTTACACTGACTTAGATATTCAACTTCAGCTGTTACTCATTTTAGTAAAAAAGTCAGAAAAACAAATTCACACAGTAACGAAAAAGTATACCTCAGCTAGTTCATTCTTTGAAGAAACAACCTAGGGTATAAACCAGAGTGACATATTCCACCCTTCAGAAAAAGCTGCAACAATGCCACACAGCTGCAGAAATAACTCCATTCCTCCTATGATCTTTTGGCTTTACAGGCAAATCCACTCAGCTCATCCCAAAACATATTTAAAAGCAATATCCCAAAATAACTTCCAATCTTTCTTCTCAGTTTAATGGTTTTCGTAACTGTCTGTAAGCTTTTTAAACACCGCACTGCTGCAGCAAGTGAGTTCCTTCCCTTCAAATTGAATGAAATATGTAGGGATTGAGTTAGATGCATGTTATCTTAATCAAATTCTAATTCGCTACATAGTTACCCAATTAGGTATGTTCATGGATGCTGAAGTTTGCATTGCATCCATCATAGAAGCTATATATGCATAGGATGTACTATTTCAACTATCCTATCATCATGGCATAAGAAAAAATTGCAGAGTAAATGACTGTGCCACACATTGCATATAATGTATACAGTTGATACAGACTTCACATTGACTTCAATTAAGTGATTTTCACATGGCATAAGACAAACACCGAGCTCCTGCTAGATTCACATAATACCAGAAAGACAGTATACATGCGTATGTGGAGTCAAGCACATCTGGGAATATTTAAGAATTCCACATAACATAACTAAGCATTTCAGCCCACTACAAATTTTCCTTAATGACTTCCCAATATAAATGTGCAGTTCTGATGCTCTGTTTTTCCCAAATGATTTAGAATAAAATAACAAATCAGTAATTATAATTAACTCAGCAAAATTCTTTGGTAGGATAATGAAATCCAGATATTAGTTAAGACACACAGAAAACTAAACAAAAAAACCCAAACTGATAACTACAAAAGCTTTTTATTCCATCTAATAAATTCTGTGATCTACCAGCCTAAACAATTAGTGGTCTGTGAAGGCCATGCATTTCAGCCATGCAGCATGCAACAAAGCAGCACATAACACAATGCAAAAATGGCAAAGAAAACCAAGTGATGGCCATGCTAGTATTTGTCAAGGGTCTCCTTACCAAACAGTGAAATCCTATGCCTGACAAGAACTCCAAGTTTGCAGAACAGGCTGAAGACAAAAGAAAAATAAAAGAGAAGAGAAGGGAAAAGGAAAAAAATATGGGGGGAGGGAAGGAGAAAGAAAAAATAACAGCTGATATATGAGCAGGAAAAGCAACATGATGTAACGCAGAAAGAATCAATTATCTGAGCAGAATGTGGGACAGAGTACTAAAGAAAGAGTTCTTAAGTGCATATCCTTAACAAACATGGTTAAATAAGCACATATTATAATTAAAGAAACAAAAAAAAATTAAAAGCAAAGCTAATTAATATAAAAGCATCCTATATGATAACCCACAAGGAAATAACCATCAAAGCTTTAAGAAGTAAAATGTGGTCAGTGTGCTATTCAGGATATCACTGACAATTTGAAAACAAAAGGTAAGGAAATCAGATTAATTGAAGTATTTGATGGCAAATGCTTAACTAGTCCAATTTGGACCTTGTCATCTTGAACACAGAGAATTTCTTTTCAAATACATTGCTTTTTAAACACACTTAACAGGAGAAATAGCCTCTTACATGCTTAAAAACCAACAAAAATGGATATGATCAATGATTTCATTTCACGTTTGAATTAATTCCTGTGGTGATGAGCAGTGCCCTGTTCAGAACAATGAAGAATGAAGTTTTGTGTTAATTCATAGAAGCAGGAGCACACTGCCCTGCCCAAATTGACCTGGCCTCCAGATTTAGGAGGGGTTAGCTCAATCTTCATGATCCAGTTCAGTCTGAGAATTTTCTCTGAGAGCAACATCAATTTTGGTGTTATTTTTTATGCCGCAAAACCCCTCATCTGCTATAAATGACATGAACAGTATCACGTCATTTTATTTAGCTATTTAATTATTAGGCACACAGGCTAGTTTATCAACCTCTGATTTAAAAGCAACAGACACCATAAGCATGTCTGCACAGTTTATGGATGAGATCTGAACATGTTGTTCCATTGACAGACAAAAGCATGGTGCCAAATGGAAACATTAATGTCCAGAATCAGAACAGCCAGGTTAATGTGGTGTTGAATCCAGCTAATTAGCCAGTGCACAGTGATCCACTATAGCAACAACAACTGCTCTGTTTTAGAAATGAGTCTGGTTGGTGCATGTTCAGGGATCTCTGTTCACTTTTTATTGCATGAGGCAGACATATACTATATATTCTTTTATGAGGATCCTGGTTCACCCAGTCCAACAGGAAAAGCTGTACAGAAGCATGTTAGCATCATATAAATCTTGTGTCCATTCTAATGAAGACATTAAATAGCTCACAATCTATCTTATTTTCTAACATACAAATGTTACTCAACTGACTGTAGCATTCAGCAGATGCTATGTTTTCACAAAGTCAGACTGAACCTATTATATCCAGTGTCATTAGCTTAGGTTAAATAAATAAATAAATAAAAACGCCCAAATGGCCAGTACTTAGATTGATGTCCAGAACTAATTTTATACAACTGCAGTAGTACAAGGACTTGTAAGATGGTCTAATGGATGAGAAATGCAAAAAGCCCAATCCTGAAGAGGCTGGTTACAAATAAGATGGAATATACTGCCACCATATTTCAGGAAGAGGTCTGACCTGTATTTGCCCGCAAAATAGATCTGGAACTACCCTTAGCTTGAAGAAAATCCTACGTATGAGTTGCACTCAAACAAATCTAAAAGAAAAACTGGACAGAAAATCCAAAATTCAGCTTTGGCAAACTCCCTACAATACTGTAGGGAGGAAAAAAAAAACCACACACAAAAAATGTTGGGAATCTATTAAAATGGCCCAAAACAACCCTTCAGGAAATGGATCATATAATGTAGTTTCTATAATCTTTGCGTCTTGGTAATTAAGAAATGAACTGCTCCATATCACTGGTTACAGCTATCATTCATCCAACGTTTCCTTGCATGTGTTTTCTTCTCTTTGGCTGACACTTCTGCATAGCAGGCAACACAATTAAGTATGGCAGCAGCTCTGATCCTTTTGCTGGGCTACATGTTCAGGAATCTCACACAGCTAAACAGCATATGTGCAGAAGTGCTGAATCTTTGCAGCATGTATGCTGATATATCCATGTTTGACATATTCCAGAAGTATGGGGTTTATTGGCATGACCTAACAATTGTGAAAATATTGCTATCTAGGACATTACAGACAGAAAAATAGCAGCTCATAGAGTGGAAAATTATCTAGATGCATGCATTTTGATAGAGTTTTTTAATTCTTTGAAGAATGTCATTCAGCGAGAACGACTCAGATCAAATTAGTCCATGAAATGACACAGGGTCAAGACAGCCATTACCTACTTATGCTTAGTATTGTTGCTAGAAACTGCACCCAGTATTCACACAATCTTGCACAATCTTGCACACCCCACCTGTCTGTATGACCACCAATTGCCTATCAGCCTCAAAGAACAGCAATTCAGTTTTGCATGGTTCAGTACCCAATAACAGCCAAGAAGGCAACCATGATACCTGTACATTACAGGTATGCAGTAGGTCCTGTGTGAAGCTTGTAGTCCACCTTACTAAATGGGAAATATGGGTTTCAATTCAATGAGAAGTGAAATTAAGTGAAAACATATCTTAGAGAGATGGTCTAAAAAAAGGATAACTTCAGAGAAAGGATCAAGTGGATATTTCTGTCATATTACTACTGTTATTACTATTTAGAAAAACAAAGAGCGGAAAGAATACAACGCTCTTATTTTTTCTTTTTATGGTGGACAGTAATAATGATATTTACTGAAACAGAGTTATAAATAAGTTTGGCTTTTAGATCTACCACAAAATTTTGCAGGAATAATGATTTCAGTATATACCTATTTCCAACAGTGAAAACTGATACACAATTATATAGCCTGTGCCACAGACTGTGCAACTGATGTATTGTTGCACATAATGCTAAATTTAAGTTCCGTGCATGCTAAAATCATCACCACTACCTTTAAAACAGCATATAATCATAACTCTGTATTCCGCTCTTCATTTTATTCAATGACTTTTCCTAACAGGAAAAGAAAGTGAAAAAAGTTTAATTTGCGTGATCATAAAAATATTTCTCTGCCTCTCACTTCTCACTTTCCCACAACCAACTGCTGCTGTTTAAAGACAAACACACATATGCATCCACATTAATATTATTTTAAGTTTTACCTTGTCACCATTTCTTTCTCTTTATTAGAGGCATGACCTCCACTGCTGAGAGGCCTACTTGCTGCAGATAAGAAATACAGGCGATGATTTTTAAAATACTGATCAATCAAAGGGAGCACAACCTGAAATTACATCAGAAAGAAGTGGTTATCTCAGGGCTTTCTTTACTATGTTCTGTATTACTCTTTGCAAGTCACAACTAAAGGCAGGAGATTTCAAATGTGTTTTCTGTTTTAAAATCTCTACGTATTTTTTCTTTAATGTCTATTGCTCTTCGAATTTATTTAGTATTCCAGACACTTAAAATGTCATCAGGAAAGGCAGCAAAAAAAATTTTACATTATCTCTGTGTGGTTTTTAGGAGTAAAAAGCAGAAAGTATAATTTCATTTTATCTCACAATTTAAGATTTTTCCAGTACCACATACCAAACACAACTATTGCCTTCATTTTTATGTAGGTTTTTTATGTAGCCTTTTAATGTCGGTTTAAGAAAAATTCACCTATAGCTGTCAGTGCACTAATGCACTTAATTCTAGATGCTATCAAATAAAACTCCCAAAACATCCTCACTCATTCAGGCTTGTCCACAGAAGTTTTCCTGTTTACTTCATTTGGTGACCATTACTCAGCGCCCACTGCACACGTCAGCCAGGAGGAGATCCAAAATAAACAGCCAATAAGAAAATCTGAAATGGCTTTCTTTTTGGGGCATGGTTCAAAAGAAGGTGGAATGCTAGCTTCTGAGTCAATGAACTTGGCAAATAGTACCACATGGAAGTACTTCAAGGTATCAAGATTACAATTTACTGCAAGGATATCAGGGTTAGAAAATGCTGCAAACAGCTGCCTTTGCTTATTCACTAATGAATTCAAAAGACACTTTGAATATGCAAACACCATACAAGCTTTTCCGTGGAAAAGGTATAAGCAGATTTTCTTAATTTATAATGTGTAAAACCTTCTTGACATAAAAAGGAGAATTGGGCTGACAGGAACCTCATGACTTTCAGCAAGGGGAAGTGCAAAGTCCTGCACCTGGGGAGGAATAACCCCAGCTACCAGTACACACTGAGGGCTGACCAGCTGGAAAGCAGCTTTGCAGAAAAGGACCGGGGGGTCTCAGTGGACAGCAAACTGTCCATGAGCCAACAATGCACCCTCACTGCAAAGGTGGCCAACAGCATCCTGGGTTGCATTAGACAGAGCATCATCAGCAGATCCAGGGAGGTGATTCTTCCTCTCTACTCAGCACTGGTGAGGCCACATCTGAAGTGCTGTGTCTAGTTCTGGGCTCCCCAGTACAAGAGAAACATGGTCATACTGGAGAGAGTGTTCTGAGAAGGGCCACAATGATAACGAAGGAACTAGAAGATCTTTCAGATGAGGAGAGATTGAGGGAGCTGGCACTCTTTAGCCTAGAGAAGAGAAGGCTCAGAGAGGATCTCACCAATGTGTACAAATATCTGAAGGGAGGGTGTAAAGAAGATGGAGCCAGGTTCTTTTCAGTTGTGCCCCATGACGGGACTAGAGGCAACGGGCACAAACTGAAACACAATAGGTTCCCTCCGACCATTAGGAAACACTTTTTTACTGTGAAAGTGACTGAGCACTGGCACAGGTTGCCCAGAGAGATTGCGGAGTCTCCACCCTTGGAGATATTCAAAAGCTGTCTGGACATGGTCCTGGGAAACCTGCTCTAGGTGACGCTGCTTGAGCTTGAAGTTGGACTAGATGACCTCCAGAGGGCCCTTCCAACATCAGCCATTCTGTGATTCCGTGATGGAGACATCAGCATGGTTTTAAAACAAGGAAAGAAATAAGGAAGGTGACATTGACAGATACATAGCTGTGCTAATTCCAACAACTATTGCTCACATTTATCTGCCTAAAGATTGTAAAAGAGAAAAATCTTCAGAATTAGACTAAGCCAGTAAACAGAAAAAGTAGGAAGGTTATGAATAACATCATATGAGTAGTTGCATATCATGGAGCAAGGAAATAATGAGAGTAAGAATACAGTCCTGTAATTTTTTCACATCCATACTTCATCCTACAGTATTTTCAAGCTATTTTTATTACTACTGTTTTAAATTAACAAAATAATGAATTTAACACAGAAAAGTGCACTAACAAATACTTTCTCAATTCAACTACTTACTATGTTGACAAAGAATAAGCAAAGATATACTGTACTTTGGCAAAAAACTTGATTTCTTGTTCATATGGGAAGTGCTCTCCTTTGCCTCTGCTGCCACCATCTGCAGAAAGAAGAAAATTAAGCTCCCTGTCATATATCCTAATTACAGTCTACTCTGCATTTTACTTAGAAAGTGTACACTATAAACAAATAATACTGGTCATCTTTAGATGTAGATTTAAGATACCACAAACAGTATACACACTAGTTAAAGTGGCATTTTATAACTACCTCATGAGAAGAAAAGTTATAGCAAATAAAATGTGTAAAGACTAATTGTCCAAATCTTCATAAAAGTGTAGACATCTCATAGTCCAAAGAGATATGGATATTTTTGTGAGATGAAAATCTGGTCCTATGTTTGTATTTTTCTAGTAATAGGTGACAATTTGGAAGCCTGAACTCACATTCTGATGAACACCTTTCTCCAGTTGTTCCCAGGAGAAACAGAATTACCAAATTTTTACTACGTATTTGTGGACTTTGTCTGAAGAACAAAATTAAGGGTTAGAACTACCCAACTGAAATTAAAATTGCTTCACTTACCCCGTTACTATAAAAATCAAATACTCTTTACAGACATAATCTGGTACAGCTCCCAGACTATTTATTGTTTATTTACTATCTTCTTTTTACTAATCCATTGAAGGACATGAATGGCATTTGCTCCACCAGTGTTTCTAGTGTTTCAGTATTTATTATCATTCTTGCAGTTATGCCAAATCTATATAATTAAGTAGAATGAAGCCATGACAATCAGGCATTAGCAGCAGAATTAACTCAATGAGTTACCAAGGCCAGACTTTTGCTACTGTAAGTAACCATGGCATATAATAATTCATAAATTTGATAATTTCCACTTTAAAACTAGATAGGTTTTTGGATGAGCATTGATTTATTCCATCTCCCTGCTGTTCCTGCCATTAATACTGTCAATTACAGCATCTACGCCTAGACATGAGGCACAGTCTATGTTATGTGGCATTACAACTCCCATGGTCACACAGAGGCTGCATCTGGCCAGGTTTTTTGGCTTTTACTGTTCATGTAAGAAGCTGACTTGGGTCACCAAACTTTCATTTTTTTTTATCTTTAAGAAAAGCAGATCAAGTTAAATCCTGTCCTTCATAGCATAAGTTGACGAAACATATGTTGGGTGTTTGTGAAAGAACATTCCCATTGTGGGAGTTTGTTAAAGAGGTTTCTCTACTCAACTTCCTCCTCCAGAGAAAATTTCAGAATGGTGCAAATGACTGGTTTAATTTGCTCTGTGAAAAAGGGATTACATATAAATATTAATGTGCACATGTGAGAGATTATCAATTTGTGCACAAATCCAAGGACTCAGCTAGTTTTCTTTTTCAAAGAATGAAAGTCATTATAAATTTTGCCTGAAAACTTTTCATCTTCTGCATGAATGTGGGAAACTGGAATGAATATGGGAAACTGGAATGAATATGTGAACTACATGTCTTTCCAAAATTCATCATCTTCATCAACTATAGGAAACTAGAGGGAAAATTCCTAGTCCAAGAATGTGTCATTTTTTTGAAATGTTCTAGTTGTTTTTATAATATCAAACATCTTAGTTAATAATTCTTAGAAAATGCACAAGGAGTACTATACCAAACTCCAGAATGTACTGATGGGCTTCATCCACATATCTTATAAGTTGCTGAAGGAAACTGTAGGCAAAGCGTTTCTCAATGGAAGGTGTGTCTAATTCCAGGTCCTTAAGTCCTCTGCAAAAAGAAGCAAGTCAATTTTCACACATGCAGAAGAACTCAAAGCAGTCTTACCTCTCCATGTAGTCTGACGACATTTTCTCAGTAATGATTAACTGCTTATTAACATAAGAATTGTTCTGTGTTTGAAGTAAACAGTACTCTTACGCTTATTTAGGTTTGAGCAATTTGTTAAGATGCAACTCAGATTTCCCAAGTACAAGGTTACAGAAAAATGAGATCAGTCAATCAGATTAATCCAGTAATTTCTTTCCCTTACTTGTAAGGCATTACAAGAAAAGACAAAAAGGGGTATAAAAGGGGCCAGTCACATGTAAACCGTGGCCTGTCAATACTGTTGTCTGACTGAGCCCTGCACCTCATCACTAGAGTCTGTCCTATCTTCCTATTAAATCCTTTAACTATCTCTCCGTGTAATCTCACTCACCATCCCTCGTGTATGTGTGTGCTGCAAGGAGTAAGTGCCAGCTACTGGCAAACCAGTGTGAGTGGATACTGGGCCAACAACTGGAGTCAGATTTGGGGGTTAGGTGCCCCCAGGCCTGTGGTGCCAGCAACAGGAGTGAATGAGGGTCTCAGCATCAGTAGTTGGAGAGGCCATAGCTTTTGGGAACGTCTCTACGGGTCCTACAGACTTTGAGCTCAGAGTCCCAGCTACTGCAGGGGACTGGCATGAGTGGATTTGGTGCTAGCAATTGGAGTCAGACAGTGGCGGGGGTAAGGCATCCCTGGTCTGTGGTGTCTGCAACTGGAGCAAGTGGGAGTCCCAGTTGCCAGTCACTGGAGTGGGAATGCTGTGTGTGCCAAAAAACAGCTAATGTGAGGGGCAATGTCAGTAAGGCGAGTGAGGGGCTCAGCGCCAGCAGCTGGAACGGGACCATGGATCACAGGCCATGTGCCTGAGTGCCATGTGATTGGCATGGGGCAAGTGTTTGTAACTTCCCTAAACCCCGACTGCATGAGGGTGTAGTAGGCTAAAATGGGCACTGTCAAATAAAAGAGTGGAAAGAAATGTGTGCAAGGCATACGTGGCAGAAAGTCAAGTGGTAAGCAGACCAAAGAAAAACATGGATCAGATGCTTGTTTGTTTAGACAGCATAGTGATCACAGGAGCAGCAGGTACAATGAGTTTAACTTGATAGAAAGACCTGCATTCAACTAGCGCAGGAGGATGCAGATGTGGCAGGAACTATTTACTAGATGATGGGTGTGTCCAAGTTAACGATTATCTTACCATCCCTCTTAGCCTTACACTCCTGCAAAAACCAAAAGCCACTTTTCACTTGTGTTTAAGTTAAACAAAAATAAAAAGGATTAGTCAAAAAGGAACGTGTAACCTTGAATGCAGCTGAGGAGTCTTTTGTCATTTTGACAGTGGATGAGAAAAGAAACCTTTGCTCACTGACATCCTTCTTTGTACATCCTACTCCATTGAAGGGAAGTGAATTGAATTATTCCAGTTACCCTGAAAGATTTTACCTAGAATTATTAGATTAGCTGTGGGACTCTCTAAACAGGCTGAATTTCATATGTGAAATAAAAGAAAGGAAGTAGGCAGATTTTAAGTAGATGTGCTAGGCTAATTAATTCGCAATGATTACTTAAATCCATCTCTGTGACTGTTTCATTCACTTACTAATGTTCAAGTCATACAAATCTCAGATATGCTTTCAGCCTTTCCTAGTGACTCACATTTCCTAAGCCACGCTCATGAGGCAGAGAAGCCTCCAATTTAATTACAATTTTATTCACACTGCATTTTGTAGGTAAACATGTCATATTAAAACCAAAAGGAATTATGCATGTTATTCTGCAGAGAACAGCATGTATACATGCTGAATTATGAATGTTCTGTTGATTACTACATTTATTCACTATTATTACATTTACACTGTGGATTGTTTAAAAAAAACTTTTAAAAAACATTTTTCACTTTTAAAACATTTTAATAACTCTACAAATTAACTCAGTTGAAAGAAATGAGTAGTAGATTTTAGAAATAAAACTGTCTTATGAAAGCAATTGCCTAGAAATTCCTATAGAGACGTGCATGTGCCTGACCTGTAATGAAGACTTAATAATTCTATCTAGAAAATTAACAAGTTTATTAACAGTTGGATGTATGGAGACACACCAGAAAGAAAAAGCATGCTGCAATGTTGAGAGGAGAGGCAGAAGACACGCAGAGATTCTGGAGGACTCTGCTTGTGCCTTCCAAAAACCTGCTGCTAACTCTGTAATCCATTTCTTCCTTACAATGTTCTATATGAAGGAGCTCATCCTTATTCCCAGGTACTGAAACCTAAAAATGACCATAGACTTTTCTTTTAATTAAAAAAAAAAAAAAAAAAAAGGCTATTGAGGAGTATTAGAAACCTTCTGTGACACTAATACTGAACAGAGAATTACCTGGAGACAACATATCCATTAATCTGTAGAAATTTCAGAATATCCTGTGCTTTTTCTCTGTCCTTGGCTTTTTCTTTGGCTGTGAGTGTATCATAAGGAACAAGAAGAGGATGGTTGCCTCCTCCTACTATGGAACATCAAGAAAATTAAAAAGCAGTTAAAGAGTTATCTGTTGACATGGTAAGTCCTGGTGTGTAAAACCACTGTCATAATAATACATAGCACATTACAGTAAAATCTAGTCTGAAATAACAACAATGACTTTGCTGTTTCTCTACACAAACCTAAAAAATATTCAGATAGAAACTTTAGACGTGGCTGCAAACATAGTTCTAACACAATCAATTGCTGCAAGTACCAGGTAAATATGTTGAACCTACTGCAAAAATTCTTAAAGAAGTGAAAAGTGTTTAACAGTTACAAACATGTATTATAATTACAACTTCATTTAATGAAACTGAAAATATTTCAATAAATAACTTATCATTTCATAAGAAAACCAAGATATAAACAAATATATAAACAAATATATAAACAACGGACAACAGAGTCCTGCTTTTAAACATTCTGATGACAGCAAAAAGGGTTCATGAAGTTTAGCAAGATATACGTATATCTAAAAATATATGAAAGTGATACAGTTCTCCTTTACAGTAATAAACTAAAGACAGAAAATTAGAGTACATTATTCAAATGTGGTCAGACAACTGTCCAATCTGACCAAAAGAATGCTGCCAAAACAGAGAGGTAAACAGAATAACCTGCATTTGTATTGCTTACAAATACCTGATGTATTGATACCTCTCTGAATGTAGATAGTTAATTTGGCAGGAAAATAAAGTTGCTACTATTAATATAAATATTTGCATAAAAAGCAACATTCTTAGGGTTTCACCTTCTAAAATCATCATCATATAGCAGAACACAATAAATTCCTATGATAATTGCTACGAAACTCCAGGAAATTTTAAGGGTAATGATCACACTTAGAAAAAATACTACAGCAAGCCTCTAGTAATAATATTTTTAAAAAGGAACAAATTCCTTCTAAAAAATATTGGAGATATATCCTTAGGTGATTTTGTAAGCCACATATTCTAAAATTTTCCATTAGTCCTGCCTGAATCATTTAAGTACATGCAAAATGGTAACCTAGTGGGCAAGTCTGATGGGCTTTTTTTTGTTTGGTTTGGGTTTTTTTAGGAAGTACAGGCTTTAACATTGGGATGATTGGGTTTTATTCTATTATCACAAATGTGATCTAATTCCACCTTATTACAGCTGACGACATGCAAAAATGCATACCGTAATCCATACTAAGCTATGGAAGTCATTAAGACTATAATAGATCATTCAATTATAATCAATACACACAAAGTGTTCAATGAAGGGGAATGACACTTGCAATTTTCAGGTGGCTAACATACTTGTGTATGTGAAAAGCCTTAAATGAAAAATAGGAATATTCTGTTTCTGAAGGCCGCATTACTGTTCTGTTCTTTACGCATGTATAAAAAAAAAATTCAAAATTAGCATATGTATATACTGGAGGAAAAATCCCACACTCTTGAGGGCCAGGTTTTGCTCAGCTGACAAAAACATCTACTTTTCACACGAAGAAACTCTCCATCAGAAGACTCTCCTTCATTCACTATAGCTGCCTCTAGCCTTCTCAGTACTATGTTCCTTTGCACAACACTACAAATACTATACAGTGTTCTTATTGAAGTGCTGCTCAGAGGCAAAAATCTGCTTTCAAAGCTGCCAAATATAGTAGATCTATTTAAATAGCTAGTCTTCCTGTAGCCTATGATTTCCCAGACTTAGCCCATCCTGTGGCTACTTATCCTGAAGAAAGTTTTTTAAATAGGCTATAAAAATCAAAATAAAAGTTGTATTAAGGGGAAATACAACTAAAGGCATGGAAATTCATAGTGATTTATTCAAGGCACTTCCAGGTGGCCCTTTACTTTTTCATAACTACTGTACCTTTGCTGGAAGCTTACAACTAATAAAAAAAGCAAGCATACAATTAAAAAAAAAAAACGGACAAGTTTGGTTCATATAGTTAGACTCAACACCTTCAGATAAGACAAAACCCTAGCTTCGGTCATTTGAAAATGAGAACTTGCTGTTTTTCCAAATATTGTTTCCTCCATGTGTAAATATAATGTTATCTGCAGAAAAAAATTTAGCTTTAAGACAAATAAAGAAATTATTTTAACACAGAGGAAAAACAGTAAGTTACACAATACATAACAAAATTTGTCATTTAGGTAAGCAGAGATCATGGAGTACATGCAATTTTTATACGGAATCAAGAATCTGCTCTATGTTTATCCACTTGTCAATTCAATACATGATATGTGCAGTTCTTAGTAAACACCCTTTTAGATCTGCAATAAAAGAAGTAATTCAAATGAAATCAGAGCCCACTGGGCACTAGTCTGAAAAATTAATGCTAGAGGGAAAATGTAGCTTAAACTTATTTACAAGCTTTGACTTCTCTTCCTTTGATATATTTGAATTAGTAAACTACTTCAACAGGAACTGTTACACTCAGTACTATAAAAACTTCCAGGCACTAATAATCACAAAAATGTTTGATTAAGAATAGATACTTTGTTGTTTCTTCTTTGTCAATTTAAATTTGCTGTTCCTTTTTTTTTTTCAGTCTGTTTTCTCAAATACATGAGCTAAGCTAATCATAGAGAACTTAAAATACTGTAAATACCTAAAGTTAATATTACCTTTTGCTTCAAGCTCCATTTTCTTTTTCTTTGCCCATATGTTATGGTAGTTTTCGGCCATCATCTCAGCCATAGCCTTAGGAAAATGGAGAGCTTAGTGATACAGGTTGCAATGGTTAACCCCCAAGAAGGACAATTATCTGGTTGATATTAAATAACAAGTTTTGTTCTCTGGGAGGTTCAATACAATTACACTAGAATGGTCCACCGAAAGCAAGAATTTTTGTTGAAAAATTAGTTTATGGAATTTGGGTAGGATGGGTATACGTTTAGGAATTAGGAACCTGGTGCTGAAGAGAAAGCTGTTAAGATGAAAAAGGAGGAACCACATAGAAGAGTATAGTCTGGAAAGAGTATTGGGGTGTTAATCGGGGACTTGATTCTTTAAACAATGCCAGCAAGAACCCCCTGAAGGCCCTGGTAAGGGAAACAAAGAACAGCAAGCCGGAGGACTGAATCAAGATTGTTCCTGCTGGCTGCAGCAGACTGACTATAAACCCATGGATATAGCCTGGTCAAGGTGGATACTCATTTGTGTGAGTTAAAAGCACCAACCATTTTACCAGGGACTCCATAGATGTAGCCATAGCTTTTTATTCAGCATGGAATTCTCCTCCAGGATGCACAAAAGGTAAGTAAATGCCTCCTATAAAACAAACTCTTCCAGACTGGTAAACTAGAAGCTAGACCCCAAACTAAGCAAAACACAGACAAGCCCTCCAGTCTCTAACTAGTAGGAACTACTATTTCAACTGAAACAACTTTTTAAATCCATCTCTCCTGTCCTCCTGATTGTACACCATCTAGTTGTACGCAGTGGTGGAATTTTCTGTAGAATTTTCACTTTTCACTTCTTTCATGGACCTACAGAAACATTCTTCTCATCTTCAATAAGGGTTTTGAGTAACCAGTATTTCTGAATATCAACTTCTTTATTTGGGAGAATACTTATGAATTCAGACAACAACTTGAAAACTTTCAGCCGTATCTTGTTTATCTATAGGACAATTTGTTTCATAAACTTTTTTCCAGTGGATAATTTATTACACATATCTCTCCTGTATGGTAGATGCCTTCTGTCATGCACACTCTGGTCCTGGTGTTTTGATAATCCAGATTAGGACCTTGGAAGAATGTAGCGTAGTCTGGGTTTTCTTCCCTTGGAAAGCAGGGTGCTATCAAGATGGTCTCAGAGCAAGACCTAGCTACTTAGGGAGTCAGGATGTGACCAGGTGACCACTTAAGACCAAAATGAGAAGTATTTCCCAGACTTACGATTTTAGACATGGCCATGATCCCTGTTAGCACAGTATACGCACAGGATGATGTAAACATTAAACAGCACCAATTCTCATGTACTAGTTTAAAAACAAACAAACAAACAACTTTGTTCAAAACAACTAACTTTTCCCAGCAATTTAAAACAAGGTTGAAGAATCTAACCCCGAAGATACTAAATATTAAAAAAAAGTTCAAAATTACATATACAGTTCATTTTTAAAACTCAAATCTCATTAATACCTAACATGTTTGGATATTTCCTGAATCACAGTATCAAGACAATTAATACCTGAAATTACATTTTAATTAAACTTGCTTAGCTTTTAAATAACAGATTTTGAAGCTGGTTTCAAAGAATACCTCTCTTCATAATTAAGGACAAATTAATCATAAATCCAACCAGCTCTGCTTTATAGCTGAGGGCTACAAAGAAAATAAAATTAATGACAAATGTTAGAGGCTATAGCATAAAAGAGTAAACAAGGGAGTAATACAAGTTCTAATGCCATTTTTTTTGTGGTTTGTGACAGAATGGTTACTTTTCTCTGGGTTTGGTTTACTGCATTATAATACTATGATGATATTCACATCAAGAGTTATTTCATGAGCATTAAACAAATTCTGCACAGTCTTTTGACTCCGCTGAGTCTATACAAATGTTAAATGAGGTAATTATAATGAAGCTGTTTCATCAGTTTGAGATAAGAGTGTAATGACAGAGGTAGTGTTATTCAATTATCAATTTTATTAACTCTTTGGAATGATCAGCAATCTACTGAATGTTTTAACTCAAGTATGATAGCTAATTGGCAGCAAATTCTTATTACTGTGAAGCTAGTCATCAAGCTACAATGGTTAGAAATTTAAAACTGGAAACTACAAGATAAGAATCAAGGAGGGGAAATCCAGTGTGAGACTTTGATCAGAGACACAGTATAGTATATACTGTACAGTTAACCAATTACTTTACTACTGCTGCTTGTTTCACTGCACTATGAAAGAGCTCAGTATGGGCAAACTTAACCCTGTGTTTCACGAGTTTTTTGTAGCCAGCTTTGAACGCCATGTTGCCATGTAGACTGGTACAAACACTCATGCTAACTAATTTAAAACTATCTATCATCTAGTGTATGTCTACATAATATTGTCACCATACTCACAGTAAATTAGTAGACTGTAAACACTACCACCATACTCCATCAAACACCATGAAAAAGACAGAAACATCATTTGTTTATTGACTGAAACATATTGTTCCAAATAACAGCAATCTACTGGCAGACCTGTCAAAATCCTACCCCAACTTCTTCATTCTCTATTCTCATAATATTTGTTGTAACAATGGTTCCTGATTCTTATTTCTTCTGTTTAGAAAAAACAGCAATGACAAAATGTTTTGGGAAGATGGTAGAGAAATGAATGATAAACAGAAAAAAGCTGATGCCGCAAGCTCTTCTAAACAGGATTCTCTTCAAAATGACAGATGTTCGCAAAGAGAACTGGGAAAATCAATCCAGGACTAAAATGAACTTTGAAGCTTTTCAGCGTGAACCATGTCTTTTAAAGCAACAGAGGATCAAAGAGCAATGATGAAAAAGACCAAAAAAAAACCCTCCAAACCAATATCAAAGCATATCAAAGTAAGTAACATAAGGCACCAAATATGTTTAAAATAAACTAGCAGAAAAGAAAAAATTAAATTATAAAAAAAAAGGGTAGGCATATTAAGTGTTTCTGACTTACATGTAAGTCTCTGGAGAGGGTGACATTGCTCATGTCAATTGCTCGAGGAGTGTAACCATGGGCTGTATCTACAGAGATCTGAATGACAAATGTGCAAAACAGTAGAGTTATATAAGCATTTGATATGAAGAAGTTAACATTAACAAGATAGTGAAAGTAATGAAAGAAAAAGTCACTTGTATATTTCTAGAGAGCGAAAGGATCCCATGTAGCCCAACTGAAAATACATCAAGGGTGATAAACTTAAGTGAGATTTAGGCAAAGGTCTACATATTTTGATCCCAAAGACAGGCAGCCATCAGACACAAAGTCCCCTCATTCAAATGCAAATTTCACTCGAACTCGTTTAAGATTTGACCTCATTGTGGATAATGCTGTACTAAAGTTATGATTAAATCTCTGCATTTTCTAGAGATTTTTTTTCTTGGCAGAAGAAATCTCAAGAAAATCTAGTTTAAGGTGAATTCAGGCAAAAATCAAACTCTGAATTTGGCTTTTCAACGTTATTTCCACATGTAGGAATAGACTCTACTAAATACATATCTTTTTCTTTCTGTCCCTCCTCCCCACTCAGAAAATATCACCATTTTGTCATTCTTTCTTTCTACTGCATAAATTTGTCACAGATTTGCTTGTTACATTGATACAAATGTTCAAAGAAGGATAAACAATGACGGAGATTCCCTGGATGGCAAGCCACTGATGCAAGAAATGTGCCTAGACAAGGGGCATTGCTGGGATTTCCTCTATGGATTCTGCAGTAACAGATACATGTCCCCCACAGGTACATCTTCCTTTAGAAAGAACGGTGTTCAGAATTTTGTTCCTATGTCTGATATTATTTTCATATGCATATATATGAGCATGTACAAGGCCTTGAAGTTCAAAGGCTTCCTTTCAAAAGGCAAGTATTTTTAATAGAGAGTAACAGAAAGGACATACAAGCAGCACACAGTAAATAAATATTGATAAAGTATTGTTTTCTAAAGAAAACAATGCAAGCATGTTACATTAACATGAAGATACTGATTAAATATACTTAAAATTTCTCAGCTGAATACAGGAAAATGCTATTTCGTGTGTGTGTGTGTGATGACAGCACAAGACATTTTAAACACAGGATGAGTATTAATATGATAGTGTGCTCTGAACACAGAAATATTCAGAAACTCTTCTAGAAAAGTTATGTAATTTCATTATAGTAAGGGAAGACTGTAACTTAGCTACAAAACCTGTTTTCATATGTTGATATAATTTGAATCTCAACTGTAAAGCTATTCATTCTAATGAGCTCCTTATGCTTAAAGTATATATGAATATCTCTGTCAGTACAGTCTTTGGGGCTGGTATTGTAAACACCCGAAAGTCGGGAAATTTGGAAGTCAAGAATTTTGGAAGGCAATTACAGTGTGCAAACTATAATGCGTCATTTAGCCCAAGTGCTAAATCATATCACTTGATATACACTTTCTAGTGTCTATAGAGAGTGGAGAGGCAGGTTCAACTGCTCATTTTTCACAGGCATATCACCATTCACATACACAAATAGTGCAGAGCTGAGTGGAGAGAGAGGGAAAGATTTTTCCCCTCCATTTTATTTCCCCATTGGTTTGGCTCAATGCGTGTCTGTGTGAATGAGAGAGAAAGAGATTTTCTCCCCTCCCCAGTTTAACTGCAAAGTATGCCAAGCTCTAAGAGAATATAGTGCCATTTTATCTTCACAGTATTTTGATTTAAGAAGGCTATTCTAAAGGAAAAAACCCTATCTTTAACATTTTCAGAAATTTGGCTGTCTATAGATGTAAATGTTATGCTGCATTAACATTGATGTTTTGTATTAATTTTCCTCTAAAAAAAAAAAATTATATATGTACCTTTATTTATTTCTTCACATGCTTAAAGGCATCCATAGCCATCAAATTCCAAAAAAATAGCAGACTGAAATCATATTAATACTCACTATGAATGCGTAATCACCTATTGATGTAAATAATTCCCCTAAATAATGTAGGTAACTTTAAATCAAGTGAAGAAATACATTCCTATTTCAATTTTGTTCAGTTTTTTTTAAAATGTTTTTTAACATATTACTTTGGAACAGGTAAAGAGAGTTCCAGCTTCAGTCAATAGAAATCCAAACCAATCTTCAGAGTTGTACAATTGCTTGCGAAAAATGCTTTCACATGTTTTTATGCTATGGCTTTATCATTTGTAAAATCAACGATTGGAGAGCAGATTTTGCATGCTTTTTTTTAAAATAAGTTTTTAATAAAATGGCTCACTTGACTGGTTTGAGATATGCGACGCGTCCGATTATACAGTGCCATGGAATCTCCCTCCCGTGTTCTTTCAATTCGCCATCCCCATGCCAGCATAGTTTTTAGTGATTCTTTGATTGGCCATCGATAAATTTCTTTCTCCTGGAAGAATGCACATGCAATAATTGCCTTGTTTATTATGTAGCTGTACAGAGCAAAAAGTAACTATTGGGCTTTTGCCTGGTTATACTGAGATGTAAAGAAATGTACTGAAATCAGCCCTTATGGCCCAGGGACACTGCAAAGAAGCAAGTAAATCATGTAAGATATTAAAAAGTTTAGTTATCATTTCAGAGGTGGGCAGAATTCTGGCCCTGCAGGAAGCTGATGATCACAGGGATAACCGTGTCAATGGCATGCTCAGATATGAGCAGTAATTATCAGGAGTAATGCAGTGTTTCGTTTGCTACATGAAACAAAAAGACATAGTCATAGAATCATAAAAAATGTCTATGTCGGAATGGACTTCTGGACATCATCTGGCTCAACCTTCTGTTGAGGTCAGATAAGCTAACCTAATTGGGCTATCAACGGTTATCAAGATTAGGTTATCTAGGGCTTGACATGTCATGCCTTGAATATTTGCAGTGCAGGTGATTTCACCACTTCTCTGGACAACCTGTTCCAATGTTTAAGTTGTCAAGATGAGAAGGATTTCCAGAAAGCATTTCTGCTGAAGCAACTTACACCCATTGCCTTTTGTCCTGTCACTGTGTGTCCTTGTGAAGAGAATACATCCACCTTCTCTATAATCAGCATTTAGGTACTGGGAAACCGAGATTATATCCCCAACAGTTTTCTCTTCTTGAAGCTGAACAAACTCAGTTCCTTCAGCCTTGCTTCATTTATCAAGTTCTCCAGCCTTCTAATCATCTTTGGGGACCTCTGCTGGAGACCAGACAAAGCCTAAACCTAAATCTTCACTAAGCAAGCAGGCATTCCTTTATGACCTTACTGTAAAAATATACTGGCAATATGACACTTCAGTTTCACCCTAAGTTATGCCATGTAAATTCAGCCATGAGAGAAAATAGGTTGAGTGGCCTATTTATTGTACAATAAAACCCTTCTATCTCTTTTTGAGATTTTGAGGAAGGCAACAATCACACATTAACTGACGTACTCTAAATAAATTTTTAAAAAGTGATGTAAACACAAGGTGGTATTTTCACAGTGAATGAAGCAATCTTTCAATCATCTGGATCAAGAATTAACAAATTCCTTACCTTTTCAGATAGTAACTTATATTGTTTCATTAATGGTTGCACTTTTGCAGATTCAGAATATGTTTCACCATATGTCCATCCATTGGCAAACTGAAAACAGTAATAGTAAGAGAGGAAAAAATTACAAGAAGCAAAAAATTACGAAAAGCAAAAAATTATTGGTACAAAGGAACTGAACAATGCTTCTGCAGAGTTGTTCTCTTAAAATTTCCTTTCTACTAGTTTCTCAACCAACATTTATATTATCTACACAAAATGAAATTAATTATGTAGCATGGAATCTTTTTGAAAATTAATGATTACACAAAGCTAACATTTCAATACATTTTTCTTTTAAATATTTATATAGAGCAGAATACTGTGCTACAGTTGAACTATTTTTAATACTGGACACGCAAACTGCACAAAGGAATAAAAACTCTAAAGAGGTTTTTTGGTTAGAAAATTCAAATTTCAAGTCAATAAAACTCTTAAACAATTAGCTAGCATATTTCCTCAAAAGTCAACAATAAAAATAATGAAATGATGAAACACTATTTTGAAATACTCATGTGCACTTACAGAACTTTCCCCCCAAATGCATTTCAAGAAAATATAGGTTTATTATCTTACCTACGTACCAACTTGTAGCATTATGAAAAATGATAATATTCAGAGTAAAATATTTCAAAGATAAAATGGATTCAAATAAAAATTCTGATTTTGCTTTAACAGGAATATAGATTTTACCTTTTCCATTGACCATTTGTCATGAGAGTGTTCTGCATATTTGTTAATGAAATATTCTAGCTTTTCAGGGATTGTAATGCTGAAAGTGAAGAGAAAAATAGCCATTATTTCACACATGCTAACATGTAAATGCTTTTGTTTTGAAGAAAACTTTCAAATAAGTAATTAGTAGTGCATGCATCCATTCAAAGCATCTTACTGTGCTCTGCTTCCTCACACACAGTTTGCTCCAAGCCCCAGTTAAATCAAGGAAAACATCTGAGTTATTTAATGGGCACTGAATGAGAACCACAGCTGTTGTAGGAATTTTATTTCTTCAACACACGTGTGCAGGGAAAAATCAATAACGATACCAAGCACTCATGCTTTTTGTCACATATTTTTTATTACTAACATTCATTTTCTTAAGATTAAAGAGATGACTATGACCCATAGTTTCAGAAATACGGTGGTAACTTATTGCACATGTCCATTATAAACTAAGTGTGCTAACAGTCCTTTTTGAAACATATAATCTATTTTATATATTCCTATAAATTTTATTATATGCTTGAAGTACTGTAACTTACGACAGCTCAAAAGTTATATGTTCAAGGCTTTATTTTCCAACACTCCAGTGAATACTAAAAATATTAAAATCCTTATTAAAGTTAGGAAAAAACCCAAATAAATACACTAGCCCTTCAACAGGCGTACAAGACAGTGCAAAAGTTAAGGTTTCTTAAGCAGTAAAGGAAAAGCAGCTATCCTTAACTGTCAAACAAGCAAACTGTCAAATAGAATCCTCTTCCAAAAATAATTTATCAAATATCAGTATTTTTATGCAGCTGCATTCCTACAAATGAAAGGGAATAATTGCTTCTTGATCACCTATGAAATAGCAAAATCTTCCCTCCTAAGACAAAGAATTTTGGCAGCAAAAGTGTTACAGTGCCATCTACTGCAAAGTAGAAGAGTCTGGTTTTTAATTTTCAGTCATAGGGTGGGAAAAAGCAGAAATGTAAAACAAAATTATGTCAGAGTAGCAGTTTGCAAGAGCCTAACCACACACAAAGGTCAGAAAATATTCATCCAGCATGGTCATCAGTTTTTTTTATTGTTTGGAAGCATGTATTTCGAGGGGAACTCTACTAATGGTATAATACTTTGAATAATTTCAGAAACGCAATAAATATTGACAAGTACAATAAGGTCATATTATCTATAGCTTCATGTAAGTAGGTCTAGGACTAGTAAGCAATGCGATGCAGGATTTGCATATTAAAAGAATATAGGATAGGTTGGAAGTGACACTGACAAAAATAGTGCTTTCTTTGTCTTGAATCATCACAGAACTGTTGACTCCTGTGGCAATGAGGTGACTGATGACTTAGGTAATGGTAAGTAACATTTTCTGACTTTTTCAAATATATTCTGACTATCTACAGTTTTCCTCTGAAATGACACCAGATAAAGTCATCAGTTAAATGATAGTATAATATTCTTACTAAATTTTGTTAAATCTTCGTATATCTTAAATACATCTTAGACAAATGAATTTTAATGGTCACTGATGTGATTTCTGTATTCCAGTCCAGATTATGGCTTTTACTACCATATTTCAATGTGCATACATATACAAGTATGCTGTAGCAAAGGTATCAATCCACTGATGGCATTCTGTGTTCTGAATGTTAGTACAGACAGAAAGCTCATAAAGACAATTGAAGCAAATGTCTTACAAGTGGCATTTTTCAAGATATAGTGAATAACCACACTACTGTAAGACTATTCTATACAAAGGAGAAAGGGGCGCTGGCTGTAGTCAAAAATCAGGACACAAAAATCCTATTCAGATATGTGTTTTGTCAGACTAATGTGCTTAAAAGAGCATGGTTAGAGCCTGACTGCCTAGAGAGAATGAAGATCTTTCTGTCCAATTCCCCATTATTTATAGTAAAAAGAGATTATATGAATGCATGATCATCATTTTCTGTAGGTACACTGTCATTCACACACACTGGAATTAGTGTCTTGGCACATGTTAATAATGGCAGGGATGATGTAGACTAGTCTATTTTTTCTGCTCCTAAAAACATGCCGGTTTGTTTGCAGCAGACATACAAAGGTAACTGGACAGTTCTATCTTCAGGCTGAAAATGCATTAAAAATGTTCTAGTATGACCAAGAAATTAGTTATGTAGCTGGATATTTATTGCTTTATATGATTTAAAATAAATATATAAATAAAAAATAAAAATATAAAGTTGAGGTCTCCATTTCATCTAGAAGATAAGTGTTCAGAAGAGAATAAAAGCTGTAAGTTCACATCATACCCAACAACAGACTCCATCCCTCTTTTACACATTCATGATAAAAAAACCTAGTTGCAACAAAATAATTCCTTACTTTGACGTATCAACAGGTTGAGGATTAAAGTTCCCATCTGAATCCATTGAAGACTGTTTTTCCATCATATTGACATAATTTGATTCCATATAGTCTGGAGGTAAGGCCCCTGCAACAGCGCTCAAACAAGGCAAAGCCAATTTGAACAGTTCTTGTTCATACTTCTGTGGAACACACAGAGGATAGAAAGTGAGTAGTGAATGGAAGCTATCAACGTCTCTGCTGAAACTGATATAGCTATATGTGAAACCAAGAAGCCGCAGAATGGCTTTCTTACTGAGTGTGAAATTGAATTTTTGTTCTGAAAATAAAGGCAACTGACTGTCCAAAGCATATTATACATTATAGATAAGCTAGGATCAAGTCTTGCTCTTGCTGAAGTAAATGGGAAAAGTATTGACTTCACTGGGAGCAACACTAGGCATTTTTCAGATGTCTGGAAAGAGAACATAGCACAGGAATATGCATAGCATTTCTAAATACCTAGATTTGAAATGAAACTCATGAAATTTTAAGCAGGTTGGTTAAAAATCCTCACAGAATGAACAATAAATAGATACCAAGGTGTATTATTAAGCTTTTGTCCAACAGAGAAGTGATTCAAGGATGATGAAACTACAACTACTAAGCAAAGGACTTTGCTCTTGGTTTAAGGAAGGATACTCTATGCGGTACAAAAGTGCAGCTTTCAGTCACCTGCAGATGCTTGAATTTGCTTTTAGGGCTCTGAAGTGTAGTTGATCTGTACAGATATACCTCAAGATTACTTCATTAGCTATATAATTTTTTTTAATAAGCAGACGACATATACCTACGTTAAAGCAGAAGCCATAAGAGGAAGATTTAAATTTATTAAAGCCTATACTTCTCCCTTTAAAGTGGATAATACAGTGTTGATAAAAGCTAGGTAAAAATGACAGATTAAAGAAAAAAGGTTACACGTTAAGGCTTTTACAGTAGTAGATGCATATTAAAATGAATTACCTTTTGAGACAAAGCATCAAAAATACCCCAGAACAACTTTCTGGATAAATGAAGCTCTTCTTCTGAGGCAGCACCAAAGTTACCCCATCCACCTGGCAAACAATAATACTTCCAGCACCTTTCATAATGATTTGTCAGCAACTAAAACAGAACATATTTTGAGAGCAAATAAAATATAACTGTTGATGTTCTTCCATTCTGGCACTCGACCATTACACAGACACAGCCAGAAAAATTTCTATCTTTTAGCAAGAAGCCATGTTATGTATCTATTCTTTAAATCATTGGTGGATACACACACAGAATGAGCAGTTCTTTCTTTTAACATTAGTGGCATATGCAAAAAGTTTGTGACAGATGATAATTTTCCGCAACACCACAAGATCTCTGACAGCTCAGCTGAAGACAAGAATTCACCTCCATCTGTGTGCTGCTATTCCAAACACAGCTGCTTGGTGGGTAAGATAGTAGAAACATGATTTCACCTAGTTCCCGATTATTATATACATGCCTGAGAGCTATTCAACAATAAATCCCAGTGTGATTCATCTCTTCCGTGAGTTGTAAAACCTGCTATCAGTCTACCCTCCTGCCCTCTATTACAATTGGCAGAGGAGCTTTATCCTATCTCCCTCTCTTTCATTAAATACGTATTTCAGGGATACTTTCTTCTTAAGCGTCTACAAGATTCCAGATTATCAGGGACTCAATTGGTGCAAGGACCTGCTACTGGGTATTTGCCAAACTAAAACATCCCAGATTTTGCGCTTAATGTGTCCTCTATGTCCCTGAGTCACAGACAATAAGAGGAAAAATTAGTTGTACATCTGTCAGGAAAGGCAATCCCAAACAAAAAACTTCTGGCCATAACAAAGTATGAAAACCTAGTCCAACTCAGGGGCAGATTTCCCTAAGGCACAGAATGATCTTTCTAAAAAATATAGCTGGAATTTTAATTCAGAGTTTCTTTTAATAGTTCCTCAGAGAAAAAGAGAATTGTTTCAATATCACTTTGCAAAGCAAGTTGGCAAAATATTATAAGACACGGTCAGTAAAAAGCTGACAGAATTCCCTTTTTTCCAGTCAGAACAAATGCAAAGATGGAAAAATGTGGATATTCATAATGTAAATGTGCAGAAATAAAGACAGGCATTAAAAAAAAAAAAAAGTGTCCTGATGTGTAGAAGTGAAGATTTTGATAACCAAAAATGTAACCTCAAGTTCTGTTATATTTTTCATGGATCAGAAAAAAAACCAATCCATATAATGCATTTGTATATCTTCAGATTTAAATAATCTATTACTATTTAAATTGTCAGATGATTAAAGAAAAAAGGGAGAGAAGAACTTACATACTGTAAAAAGACAGAAGTTTTGTCATTCATGTAGAACCCCAGGGGTCTCAGAAATATGGACTCTAAGAGTCTAAGATGTATTTGAAAATGTTTTTTTCAAAATAAATTCTATTACACAATGGCTAGACTTCAGGTTTGTTTTTGGACAACATGTGAGTGCTAATATATATGTATGTATTTTTAAATCTAGCCAAGGCAGGTTTACTCTTAGAGAAGTCCCTGATGAAGTACTGAATATGATTTAAGAGGAAATAAAAACAAGGCAGCCCTATTCCAGAAAGTTTACACCAAATTATATAGGAAAAGCATCACAGATTTTAATTCACATGCTGCCTAAACTGAGGTAATTTTTAATTGTAGAAACCAGCAAAGGTATTCACAGTAGATAGCACTCTATTCTGATTTAGCCTTCATTATTTCCTCCTCTCTTCCCATTCAAAATTAAATTTTCAGATTCATGATTAACTTGTAGCTGTCTGTTTAGACTACTATAACCTGTTTGCTAGCACAAGCCCAGAAGGAATATGCATGGTACTTTCAAATCAGAAACACATTAATAGATATAAGTAAGAGTCCCTTGTTAATCACTGAAAATCAGTTTACTGTCAGTGAAACCTTTGAAAAGTTCTAGTTCTATCTTCAGATAACGAGTTCACTTTCCTCAGAAACTCCTATTCCTTGCTTACGTGTCAATGGACAAAATCATTTGCCCCTATTAACACCATAATATTCTCCTATCTATATCTATATTCTATATATCTATATTCTCCCAAAGCCTGACTTGCCAAAAGGATCTAATTATTACTTCCTTCCTGTTCATTTCAGCAGTATGGGAAAGTGACTGCAGTCACGACCCTCAGGATCAAAGAACCTGCCTAGATGAACAGATCTCAGGGAGCTGGGGTTGTTCCTTCCTCTGCAAAAAACCATAACCACGCAGGGAGCGCCAAGTTACTATTTGGTTTTTGCAGCACATACAATGTCATAATGCATTAGAAAGGTCCCCTTCAGGGCAGTATACTAAATTATCAACTGCTTTTCTCACACATAGGCACTAAAGAATGTCTGCTCCAGCATCTTCAGTTTGATTGAGCACTTCTTGGGTCACACAACCAAATTATGAAGTCCTCGGCAGGGGAAAGACCATGGAGCAGGTCCTGGCTTTGAGACTAATGATTTAAATTCCTCATCTGAGGTCAGAGACCATAATCTGGCTAGTAGAAGCCCGTGTAATTCTCAGGAGTATTTTGGCAAAGAAATCAGATGTAAAATGCAATTAATCCTGATATGTGGCTTTTAAAGCATAAGGAAATATTAAACAAGAAAAGATTAAATATCTCATTCAAAGCTGTGGTGGGAAAGCATTAAAAAGGACTGCCGAAAACCAGCAGTAGGTAAGGTGGGAAATGATACATTTCTTAGAACTACCAATGAAATCTGAGGAATCTTTAAGGAATGTGTCATCTCAGAAAGGAAAAAACACATTTTTCTTGTGCATTAGGAATCAGAATCAAAAGATATGGAGAAACCTTTGGGGGCTGAAAACAAAATGGAAGATTATTAAAAAACATGTATTGCTTAGATTTCTAAGCACAAACCACAGAAAAAGAGTCCATTTTCCAAGAGCTGGGAAAACCAACACAGAGGGCTCAAGTAAGGGTACATACAGGCTATCAATTGCTATCTTCCTTTGTGCACTGGATTCTGTCCCCTGCCCCCAAGGGTTTTTCTATTCTGTTTCCACATGGGCTTAAAAAAAAAAGAGATAATTAAAGGAGAAGCAAACATTAGACACAGACTTCATAATTCCATATGGATGGATGTAAATTAGACTGAAGTCCTGCCAAAGCAGCAATTTATCTTTAAGAACTATGGTCTTTGATTATTGCAGAGTGGAGATAAGGTAACAAAGAAGATAGACAATATTCTCCATGCAGGTATTTTCTGTTGCATTTTGTTACAAGGAATGTTGTTGAATATTAAAATATACTTTTACCTTGAGAGGCATCTTTGCATGTTCATTTAATAGAGGAACATCAAATACTAATCTTCTCAGCAAATGCTGCATCATGGAAGGTCGCAACTGCCTAAAAGCAGACAAACCATTTCAAAAGGGTGTACCAGCATAGTTTCATGTAAATAATTAATAAATACATTAAAGCAACCTGCCAGTTGACAGACAAGTAAAAAAATTTCCTGGAGTATATGTATATGTCAATATCATCTTATTTATGTCTCCCTATATGCTTGACTTTATGCGATTAAAATTCTTCAAATTCTAAAGTAATAAGATTTTGCTTGTGGCACTAAAAAAACGTGTCCAAAAGAAAGCAAACAAGGGCATACCAAAGAAAACCTTCTGAACAAGCTGCAAATCAAATGCTTTAAAGAAGCAGAGAAAATATCTGATCTACAGACAGAGAAAATGAGGAAAAAAAATACTGAATTTTTATATTGTATATTACGATCACCATGCCCATGAAAAAAGGTTAATTTCTCAATGGCTCTTAAAAATATCCTAGAAACTAATAAGGACGTAAGAGCACTAACTCTTTAGAGGTACTAAACAAGACACACAGTAGTGGGCACCAACTGGAAGAACAGAAGAAATAGGCATAGTACGTATGTTAGAATGGCATGGACATTAAACCTTTCCAGATAAATAGCAAACATTGGTCCATCTTATTGATTCTTATCAAGATAACATATATAAAATGGTTAATGTGATATATTTTATAAAGAAATGCTAGACAGTACTTTTTTACAGTACTATAATATAAATGTCTAATTTCTGAACACACTTCCACATTATGCAAAAAAAATTATGGTGAAATATTCAGAAAAACTCTGGTGATTTGAAAGCCTAAATGTTACTAACTTTAATTAGAAATTGAACTCATAAGTGCCTAGTCAACTTCTGATAATTGAGCCCATAGGCTCATAAAAAAATTGGATAATAATCAACTGGTTTTAAGACTGCAGATACCCAGGCAAAATTTGTCCCATAGGTGTCAATAATGAGGTATGACAATACCAGTCATTGATTAGGACTTCAAATGTAACACAACATAAATAAACGTCTACATAGAACTGTATAATCTACTGATCATCAACCATACTGCCAGTCTGTACAGCTAAAAGTATTTAAATAGCACTTCAGTGTATGCACAATTCCACATTTCTAGAGCTTTGTGTTTTTGCAGTACATCCTCTTAGTTAATCGCCAAGGTTTTAATTTAAAAAACTGGGTAACAGGAAAACAACTGAGGATTGCATATGGGTGATTAATAAAGTTGCAAATTGAATACTGTGTATTTAAAAATATCACAATCATCTGCCAGAAAAAAAAAATCTTAATTATGCTACTGGTGGCATAGTGCTGTGTTCCTGTATTATAAATATCATAGGTTACTTTATCAATTAGCATTCCTGTACAGCCAGGAGTATTTTCTTACCCACAGATAGACAACAAACACTCTTCGATAGAATCTCGCTGAGCTTTGGTAAGAGAGCATCCCTTTGAGAGTCTGTACACAGTATGTAATAAGGAATCGATGAGGGAAGCGTGGTGCTCAGTGCCAGCAAAAAGAGGAGCGCATCTGGTCAACAGAGGCAAGACTGCTGTGCAAAGGTATCGATTCAGAGCCAAAGCCATATCCGTAGCACTTAAAGCAGCCTATGAATTAAACAGGACAGAAATTAGATTTTTCTCAACAACATTGTTACAAATGAAAAGAACTTGTTGTTTGTTTTTCTTTTGTAGTAGTTATAAAGAGGGGAATTTCAAAAACACACAAATGAGGATTTGATACCTACTGGAAGCTGGATGCTTAGCTTCTTTTCCTGCTTCTGAAGTCTCACAGATGCCTTTTGTTTTGTTTTGTTTTTAATGAATGAAAACATAAACACTAAAAGATAGCCATTCAAAAACTAAACAATTTTCAAGACTATATTAAAGAATGTCATAGTTGCTTAACAGAACACTCCAAAATCAGGTAATATCAGTTAAGTCTGCATTTACAAAACTCAGAATGTTTCTGTGTTACGATCAAGTCCAAGTTCCAAGTGAGGAAAAAATCCTCACCTGCTCTTTCTTAAATAACAACATAATTATTTTCAGAAAAATATTGACATAAAAGGTCAAATACGGAAATCAAAGTCCATGTCTTCGCCCTCATATAAGCTCTCTAAATCTGATCTTTCTGGACCAAGCCAGCTAAGAAAAATTAGATGGAAATGAGATTCACAGTAAAAAAGGCAGCAATTCTGAGGAGGAACTAAAACAAAAATTTAGTGATTTCCTAAATAACAATGTAGGTGCCCCTAACAAATGCATGGAGATGAACACTTTCTATATACCTCTGGAAAGAGGCTCTCAGTTATATGCTTCATTGGCAGCTTATCTGATTTTGATTCCATAGCACAAGCTCAGAAAGTCTCCTGGGGAAAGGAGGAGACTTTGCATCTCTTATGGATACGGGTATCAATGGGGGCTCTTACAAAGTGAGCATCATTCTGGAGAATGCTTCTTCACTGTTCTTCAAGTATTCTCAAAGCTCAGCAGCAAAGACAGCTCATCCAGCATTTTGAGAAATGCAAAAACATGAAGAAATAAAAAATGGTTTTTTTGAGGGATGAAAAATGCTGCGTGTTCAGTAAGATAACAGAACCGAAATAACAACAGACTTAAACCCTTACCGTATCTAAAGAAGCAGCAGCACGAAGATCTGGCAGAAAGCCAACTTCAAGAAGGTGTAGAAGAAAATCCTGGTCCTCAATTCCATAGACCCTGTCAAGGAACAAAACCATGGCTGCCTTGTGATCTGGGCAAAACCCCGCAGACATGTCAGGTTCCACCACAGTACCATCTAAAAGGAAGAAATAAGACTTCAATGACAAGGATCATCCTTCACCACCAGACTAGGCAGTCACGCTACTACTTGTCAGAGGTTTTGAGTCTCTGTTAATATCTAACATCTAACCATCTTCCCCATGGTTTTGTTACACAATGGCAACATATTTGTAGTTAACTGAAAAAGAATGCAGAAGGCAAATTCTATCCAGACAGACCTCAAAGTCCATACGTGCTTTTCAGTTCATGCTTTGTGTATTAAGGGATTCTTATCAGTTGATATTCTAATATGATAAGTACCCAAAACATACTAATTCATCTACAGAACTACCTAGTTCTTAGAAGAAGTAGACAGAAAGTAAAAAATACAATTCTACATCAAACACCCCAGGAATGCAGCACTGGTGAGCATATCTGTAACGTATGACAACGAATTAATATTGTGCTGGAAAGTCCTCTGTATCTGAAAACTTCTGAAATATCTGAAAGGAATTCATTGAAATATTTTTAAATTTTGATACCTTCATTTTCAAAACCAAATAAACAATTCTGTATCTATGAGCTGTGCTCTATGATACCTTGTAGATCTATCACTATTTAGAATATAAATAAATAATGGTGTAACAGAATGATTGATCTTTTTATCTCTTCTACTGCAATCTATTGAGCATTCTTGTGCTGTAAGTCCCTAGCCAATCCATGTTGCAGTTATAATGTTCTCTCTCCAGATACCCAAAAAAGCAGATGTAATTCTTTTCCCTTTTTGTATTGATGCTTACATAGCTCCCACTATTGCAGTCAATTCTATGTAAGCAGAAAACACAAAGAAATGCATTTGCATTTCTTTGCATTGTGACATTTGCATTGTCACACCTGTAACTTCACCATAGTTGCTGAAGAACAACTCTGGTGTCTTAGTCAGGTCTGCTAGAAACAATTGATAGTGTTAGAACAGCAAAAGCTAAGGACTATGTTATCAAGAAGAGAGACTAATTTTAAAAAATATTTTATAAAAATAGAAAGTATGCATTTTTAATTTTTTTTTAAAGTTGTAATAGATTTTTATGATTCAATTTAAATGAATGGGATTTACATCAGTGATTTAAGTGTACACAGAATTATTGCCTATAGTATGCAGAAAAATTTTTGAAACATGTTTGAAATACACATGATTTCTCTTCTAATTCACATAATAAATAGCTTAATTTCTGTAACATTTTTAAATACTGAGAGAAGTATGAGTATCAATATGTCATTAAATTACAAAACATAAGAATGGGATGGGAGAAAAAAAAGTAGAGTAATCATTGTACCTTTAGCTATGGTTGGCATGTGGAAAGGAATGCTAATTACTCCCACCAAATCTTCCAGTGGAATCAAAGACCGTAGAATTGATCTGATTCTAATGGCTTCCCCTTTACCAGCATGGATTAACTAAGGAAAAGACAAATAAAAAATTAACAAGGTCTTCTTTTTATCTTCTATATGTGTTCATGTTCTGGAAACTTCATGAACCATAGATACACAAGAATGACTGCTCTCAAAATTGCATTATAATTAATAATGTAAATTTCACGCAATCTGTATTTACTTGCTCTATTTTGGATGCAAATGTGCAAAGTCTAGAAATCTAGATGTTTGGTTATTAAATAAGACTAAGCCCATTTTCAGAATGGAATGTTAGGGAAAATAGGTGAACAAAGCATTAAAATGTAGCACATGGGGGGAGGAAAAGGGGAAGAAAGAGCAGATTTTCAGATGAAAAAAGCCAGTTTTTCTGTCCTGGCCAAATAACAACACTTTCAGGTATCCCAGTTGTTTTAGTCTTGTTTTAAAAAAGGCAGCGAGAGAGGGAGAAAACAAGACTTTTTTTTTATTCAAAAAAACCAGATATTCATACACTGACCTTACTATATGGATATCTCTGTCCTTTCTCAAGTTATCGATCTCTGCACAAATCTGATACTGATCTATACTGATCTATATGAATTAGGGCACATTTCAGGGTGAAATGAGAAACTATGCATAACTAAGTAGAATTTCTGTAGAACGGGAAGGTATTCTGAATTGTAAATAACAAATATTTTCAAATAATTTCAAGCTTTTAGGAAATAAGTGGTAAGGGCTTAGGTTTTATAGTGTGTCTAATTCTTTGTATCTAATGCCTGACATCTTACCTTTGAGAAGGTTTGTTAGTGTGAATAAAGATTATGAGATATGTATGTCCAGGGACAATGCTTATTCCCTGTATGTCCAGGGACACATGTCAATGTGTATGTCCAGGGACAATGCTTATTCCTACATTTTAAAAGAATGCCATATAATATTTACTTTTTTATAGGCAATTCAAAAAGTCTGTTTAAATAGGTATATGAAGAGAGTAAAATCATGGTTTAAAAAAAATAAATCACTCTACACGATCACAATGAATAGGGAAATTTGAGGAGTTTGATTGTCATATTCATGACAGAATGCTGTTGAAGACCAACCATACGGAACAGTAATAAGAAAAGCAATGGAATAATTCCTTTAAAAAGAACAGCTTCTGAGTAGTTTACAGAAATTCCTTGCAAATTAGCAGATGAACACATTATGTACATTAAGGTACTATGTAGTCACACCACTGCTTTAATACCCGATAACGTGTTACTGTAAAAAAGCCAAACAGCAAACCACCGAACAATCAGTAAAACAACTATGCCTTTACTTTTCAATGCATGAAGACATAAAACTTACATGCATTTCAGGGGCACAACGTCCTAAGAGATCAATCAAAGCAGCGTAAAAGGTCATGATTGCATTTCCCATGTGAATAGTGTCATCTTCTTGTTCTTCCATTTCACTGTAATTAGTTAAATGTTAAAACAATTAAAAGATGAAAAAAATACAAGTTTTTACATCAGCAATAAAGAAAATCTGCTCATAGCTGTAACAGCTTACACATAGTGGCTTCCTGTTAACTAGTGGACTTCTAGCAGACTAACACAGAATGGAATTTGTCCCTAAAAGATTGTAGTGACATCTGCATTGTTACCATTTATCTATCTCATTTTGCAAAGAACAAACAGAATTCTAAGGAGGATTTAATATTTAGAGAGAGTTACTTAAATTAACAGTGCAGAGGAAGCACTATTTGGCAGAAGACAAATCTCTACCCTCCATAGAATCCAAGGAAGAATCCAGCTGATAATTCACATGTTAAAACAAACAAGTCATTTCACTACTATGATTATAAAACAAATAAACAAAAATGATGGCAATGTAAGCAATTCCACTGCACCTACAGGGTTTTACTAGATCCATTACTTGGGGAAGGTCCATCCCTTGTTGGATCTTCTGATATTTGTATTGCTTCCTCCATGGCAGCAAGTAACCCATTGCCTCCTTCTCCTCTTAGAGCTGGACCAAAACATTCAGGTCGACGGATAAGCAGTCTGACTACAACATTAGCATTCTCCTCCACACTCTCTCCTACCACACAGAACAAATATCAAGATTTAAGATTATATCAAAAAGAGTTCTGAAATATAATCAGAAAAAGGTAGACAAAAGTGCAGAATGTATGCATCAGTAAATACTTTTAACAACAAAACAGTTTAAATATCATGACAAAGTTACACAAATACACAAACATACTCCTCTATTATTGTAATAAAAGCTATGAAATAAAACATGTGATTTAATTCAAATTTAAATAAAGCCAAAGAAGTAACTATGTAATAAAGGATGTTTAAAGCACCACTGAAGCTAGTAGAGACACAGTCAAGTGAGAGAGTTAATGAGGGGACCAATATAGCTGCTAAACACTAAAATTGGACTATCTAAATCTTCACCAAAAGATGGGGGGTTGGCTCTATGTCTAGCATGAGTTTTATCACAAAAAGATTTAGGACTCTGTTCTACTTGTGAGATGTGGGCATTTCAAAGACTAAAGATGGATCTAAAAAATGGGGCATAGGCTCTAGGACCCCATATGACTTGTGAAATGGGCATCTAATTTACTGTGTCTTCCATAATTCTACTCTTCCTGCAAATTGTCCTTTAAATTTACGGTAACTTATCAAATTGGCTTATATTACTATTTTAAATGACAAACTTATTCGAACATTAGAGGAAGTTATAAAATTTATAGGCTTCCACTCTACCATTACAAAAAACAGCAAAACGAAGAAAATCCAAATATCGCTCTCCTTCAACTGGATTCCATCCGATGTCTGGGTAGCCTTTAGAAATCAACAAAGGACAACTCTGCAATCCACATCCAGCCAAGTAGCGAACCACCTAAGAGCAAGGGAAGATGAAAAAGATATTAACTGTGAAAAAGAAGAGAAGTGCAGTTTCAAAGGGAAACATCCTCATACGTTGTCTCAGATATGGTGTCCACATTCTATTATCCCCGACAAAACCATCTCATACTTTGGGCAAATCAGAAGAGCAGCCTCTTTCTTAGTTCACTTTCCCAGCCTTTTCCTACTTCTGCTATGAATTGCAAGACCTTACTTACCTCAATTCCATTTTTCCTCTCTCTAAATCACTGCTTTGCTATCTATATCTCATTTCTCTTGCATTACAAGAGCGTTACAAATTAGTCAATTTTGTAATATTCCCCAACTACACACTATTCATATTTGAAAACTCATCTTCTAATATAACTCACAGGTCTACTCTTTCATTTTAACCTTTCCTTTTCACTTGCCTGTTTTCTTCCTTTCTTTTTAAACACACAGCAGTAACACACTCCCTGTAATTCAGACCTATAGTCTCAGTAGTAGTTTTCAGTTAGCCCTCTCCTTTCTGAATTGTAAGAACTGTAAGCATAGCCTTTAACCAGTTCAGACAGCTTCTTTTTGCTAACCATTTATAAGAACGGTAAGTCTGAAAATGTCCTTTTAAACACACATGGTCCATCTTCTTATTCCAAGAAAGGACCATCTACACTTATATTACTCCTGACAGATGCTTTCCTGCGAAGATTATAGCATCTCCAGAATTGGAAGTCTTCAAGAACAAATTGGACAATGTATTCCACTGTCTTACTTTCCATTAGAAAGTGGTTTTTAATGTCTATCTTGAATTTGTCTTTCCATTATTTAAGCTGCTTTTCTTACCCACTACTGACATAGTAACCATTATTCTATTCCTTCTTGCAGCAGCAATCTACATATTCTACACAATTGTCACATGCTTTCTTGAGTTTTTTATTCTTTAGTCTAATTAATCCCAATTCTTTCAATCTTTTCTGAAGCAGGTTTAAATGTTAGGAAAAAATAAAGATAGATATAGATAGATATGTCTATGAAAATCTGTTATATATTGTAACAAGTTGTCACAAGGCTTCTAGTAACCCCTATTGCATTATGCCACCACTGCATGTCACCATCAAGACAGAAGAACAAAGAAAGATTTTAGCAATGAAGTTTTGTTGGGTATGGATTCCACTATTCCCAAAGTAAGAGCTGCCCTTGAGGCAATTCCTTTTGGTTACACCTGTGTATGTAATAACCATAAACTCCGTTCAACTATCGAGACCACCAGCAGAAAGAACAATCAGATCCTGACAGTCTTCCTCTGAAAGGTACCTAAGACTCTCATATAATTCTTATCATCTTGGATTTTGATTACTCCAGAAAACAGGAACCTTCCCCTCTCTATAGGGGAAAAAAATGCTTGATGAAGAAGCTACCAACCTTCTCCAGGTCAGGCTCCCTTAAAGCTAGTGCAAGTTCATTGTTATCCATCACAGAGGCTGCTGCAACATCTAAAGGAGTTGATCCTCGCATAGAAGGAGAGGCTGTTAAAATAACATTTAGTTTCAACACCAACTTAATAGAAACCAACAAATTCATAGGAAATACATTAAAAATTTTTTTTAATAAAATACATTTTGTCATTAGTTAGCACATGATTATAAGGATATAATTTATACCACTCAGTTTATAATGAAATCATGCACTCGCATGAAATTTGACATTGATATGAAATCAAAATACAATGTAGATGTTCAAGCTAGAAAAACTTTCCTTACACATTCCTATTCTCATCACATACTTTGTTTTAAAATGTTGTTCTTTCTAATTTTCCTAACTGACACAACTTCGTTTTGAGGAAAAGGTAACGGGGATTTTATATCTAAAACACTGACATTTTATCAAATGTATTGAAACAGAAATATCTCTAAGCTTTAAAATATAAGATTATATGTTATCTATTTCTTTAAAAAATGGCAGTCATTATAGCATTAGAAAAAGCTAAGGTTTTCATATTAACGCTCCAAATGCATTTGATTTGGGCACTTTCTCTCCAAAAAGATTTTTAATTTATGCTTCTGTCCTGTACCTATACATTAATAAGGAATTTGTGATAATTTAAAAAAATTACTATGATGATTCTACATAACTATATATTCACACTTACAAGTACTAAATTAAATAAGAATAAATGTATCATCTCCTTTATAACACTTCAGCTTGGAAAACAAAGTTTTTAGAAACTTTAGAAAATTTTAAGACAATTTCAAGGTTCATTTCTGGGCATCTATACATGCATACCCATGCATACCCATGCATACCCAAGCTCTGTATTTCTCCCACTGCCATAGGCATATACTGAACAATCCACAGAAGAAAGTACAGGGGAGCAAGCTTGAGCAGTGAGAAGTAAGCCGTAATGAAATGCTGCCAACACTTATTTATGATTGTCTTCATCAAAATCTGAATTTTATTCTGTTCCTTAAAATGTGCAACTAAACACTGATTCTCTCTTAATGTCCAAGCACACACAAAAAAGCGTGTACTAAATTACTCCAACTTAATGCTACTGTCAGGGGTCTGTTTGGAGTTAGCAATACAGTTAAGGATATTTTTGCACAGGGTAAAGAAGAAACTTCAAGACAAACAGAGAACACAAACAGAGGGATGCAAAAAACCATAGGTGGTTTTATATTTTTATATATATACATACACATATATAT